TGTCACACATGTCATGTGTCCTTAAGGGGTTAAAGTAGTCTCTTTTAAGCAGGAGTTAAAACAACAGGAGTTTGTTGGAGAACTGGTGGACTGCGGTTGGTATTAGTTAATACCAAGTGGAAAAAAAAAGCAGGTTTAAATTTTTGTATTTTGTTTTGTATTTGTTTGTTTTTTTACTTTTACCCTTTTTAATTCATTTTTCTCCTTGCTCTTTTGATTTATTTTAATTTTTTGTAACTTTTTTCCCCTTTTCATATATATATTTTTTTTTTCTCTTTGCTGGATATGGTTAAACTCTGTCCCTTTTTTTTAAATTTATTTCTTCTATATTTTCTCCTTGCTGGTTTTATTTAAAACGTTTTCCCTCCTTTTTTTTTCTTCCCTCTCTTGTTGTTTCTATTCCCCTCCTTGTGGGTGCTGCTGCTGCTGAGCTAATTAGGAGGAGTGCCCCTTAATTTCCACCTGTGTGGGATTTGTATTGCCAATATAAACCCACTACTGACTCACAGAGCTTGCTCACTCGAGTTTGCTTGAAAGTAGGCTATTTCAAGTAGCCTCTTTTAAGTAGGAGTTAAAACAACAGGAGTTGAAACTACAAGGGAGTTTAAACCAAGAGGGTAAATATTGTTTTTGCTCACTTGTGTTTTTTGTAACTGGGGATGAGTGCTAGCAAGATTGCGCGTTTAACTCCGTGCACATCATGCCGCATGTATGCATGCCTGGATGATTCTGTCCAGGGTCCATACCTCTGTGGTGGGTGTGAGCGAGTGGCATTTCTGGAAGCTCAGATTAGAGATCTGGAGAGGCAAATTGTAACTCTGAGGGAGATTGACAATCTTGAGAGGAGTCTGCTACTCACTGAGCAGAGTTTAGGGGGGACAGGTAGTGGAGAGGGAGGAGATAAGACAGATGGGGAACAGGCACGTAGCTGGGTGAAAGTGGGGCGAGGAAGCAGGGGGGGAGGGAAGAGAAAAGGTTTAGCTAGTCCTGATCTCATGCAGCCTAACAGATTTGCCTGTTTGAGTGAAGATGTTGGGACCATCAGCTCAGGAGTAGCTATACTGCAGGACGCTGTTCCTTCTAACAGCCGTGGGAACAGCCCCTCTAGAACGGGTGGGGTTGAGAGGGTAAGGAGGTTTAGACAGGTTGTGGTGGTAGGGGACTCTATTATTAAGAGAGTAGATAGGGTAATCTGCCACTCTGATCGACTAAATCGGACAGTTTGCTGTCTCCCGGGTGCTCGGGTCTGGCATGTTGCCGACAGAGTGGAGGGATTATTGGGAGGGGCTGGAGATGACCCAGCTGTCATGGTCCATATTGGTACCAATGACAAAGTCAGAGGAAAATGGAAGGTCCTAAAGAATGAGTTCAGGGAACTAGGAAGTAAGCTAAAGAAAAGGACCTCCAAGGTAATTTTTTCAGAAATATTACCTGTGCCGTGCGCTACAGCAGAAAGGCAGCGGGAGATTAAAGAGGTCAATGCGTGTCTAAAGTCTTGGTGCAGGAAAGAGGGTTTTGGGTTTTTAGAGCACTGGGCCAATTTTGCGCTTGGGTACAACCTGTATAGTCATGATGGATTGCACCTAAACAGAAGAGGGCCTGCTGTGCTGGGCGATAGGATGGCTAGAAGGTTGGAGGAGATTTTAAACTAGTGGAAGGGGGGGAAGGTCAAAGCAATCTAGAAAATGGAGATAGGATGGAAAGGAGATGGGCTTTAGCTCAGAACAAAGGGGGTGGAGATGGGGGGAGGGGAAAGCTCAGAACAGAGGAGGTATGGAATATTGATAATTCACAAAAAGTACAAAAGACTCATGATAATATTAAATGTATGCTTACTAATGCAAGGAGCCTATATAACAAAATGGGGGAACTAGACGCAATAGCATACACTAAACAATATGATATAATAGACATAACAGAAACATGGTGGGATGAGACACATGACTGGGCAGTTAATTTAAATGGGTACACGTTATTTAGGAAGGATAGGAAAAACAAGAAGGGTGGTGGGGTATGTTTATATGTCAACCATGAGTTAAAGTCAAATCTTAGGCATGTGGAGTGTGACGAGGAAAATGTGGAGGCTTTATGGGTAGATATCTGCTTGGGGCAAACAAAGGGAAATCAATTATTGGTTGGGATATGTTATAAACCACCTAATGTAAATATTATTGAGGAAGAACAGCTGTTAGAGCAAATTGAAGAAAGCTGCAAATCGAGGTAACACGTTAATTATTGGAGATTTTAATTACCCAGACATAAATTGGGATAGAGGGACTAGTACTTCAGCAAGGGGAATCAGGTTTTTGAATGTGTTAAATGACACCTTTATGTCACAACTGGTGAAAGGACGCTTGTCTGGATCTTGTTATAACAAACAATGTTGATCTTTTAACCAACATTCAAGTAGGGGAGCATTGGGGAAATATTGATCACAATATGGTTGTAGCGGAGTAGCAGGGGTTAATCCAATAGCTCTCCGCTGGGAACAAAGATTCAGCATACAAAATCACAGGAACACAGCATAATCCACCTCCCCAAGGACTAGACGACACATAGTCTGGGAGTCAACTGTCACCTTTATTCACTGGTATGCTTTTATGCACTTCTCCCATGCAAGGGAGGTAACTTTCACAATTAGTACATTAACCAGTCATATCATGGTCACCTCCCATCCCTCTCCTCCCCTTAGATTAACAGTTAAACAGATTAATGGGGACAGAGTTTTCCCCACTTTATGGATGTCCCCTAAATACAGGGTTAAATAAGGGGTCCCCTGGTAGGTCTGATCTGGGTGAGCAACATACTCAAAATTCACCCAGATCGGACCAGGGGTTCGGGAGTTACAGGCATTGAAAGATTTGACCGACCGCAGGGGCTCAGTAGCCGAAAACAGTTCCATGAATTCTGGCCCTGCGGTCGGTCTTTTCTAGTGAACACAAAGTCCCGAATGGCTAGGCATCCAGGCATCTGTTACCGTTCGTATGAATCCCCTTGTTCGTGGGATTCCACCTACCGAACGCCGGGGCGTTCGTGTGTTTGGTTCGTGATTTCTGAGCATGCTGGAGGTCTTAGCGGTACTTGGTTAGTCGAATGCCTGGTTTGAGTTCCAGGCGTTCGACGACCAAGTACCGCTGTTCGTGTGTAAGATGGCCGCCGCCACGTGTTCAGTAGGCGAAATGGCGGCCACACACAGGCACTTAATTCCCTTCGCAACATTGTATCTTTCAGTTAATGGGAAACACACGACCACCCCGGGGTGGTCTCCCGTTCGGTAGTTTCGGGGCATTCGCATACAGAGCAGCAAGAATAACATTATAGTCCGTTCGTGCATTAAGTCACTGCTTTAGCACCCATTCACTTGTAATAATTCAACTGTTCATTCGCACAGAATAGTTAGTCCAAGTGGCAGGGTTTGCCACAATGGTAAATTTTGAAATAAACTCAAAAAAGCAAAAGCAAGTGGGGTATACTAAAATACATAATTTTAAAAAAGCCAATTTCAAAAGCATTAGGGCAGCTCTACAACATATCGACTGGCATAAACTCCTTAGTGATAAAAACACTGAGGATAAATGGAAACTATTCAAACAAATATTAGAAAGGTACATTTCTCAGTATGTACTATTGGGTAATAAATATAAAAAAAAAACAATGTGGCTTAGTAGAGAAGTAAAACAAGAGATTAAAAATAAGAAAAGGGCATTTAAAGCATTTAAATCAGACAAATCAGAGGCATCCTATTTAAGATATAAGGAAGCCAATAACGCTTGCAAAAAGGCAATTAAAGTGGCTAAACTAGAAAATGAGAAATTGATAGCTAAAGAATGCAAAACCAACCCCCAAATTTTTTTCAAGTACATCAATTCTAAAAAAACAAAAAATGAAAGTGTAGGTACACTGGAAACAGAGTTGGGTTTATTAGCTAATGAAGACCAGGAAAAAGCAGAAATTTTAAATAACTATTTTTCTTCAGTATATATTAATGAGGATCCTATGGCAAGAGGCATGCAAATGATTGCTGCAAAAAATTGCAAATAACTTGTGATTGATAACTCGAGACAAAGTGCTACAGCTATTAAAGAAAATTAATGTAAAAAAAGCTCTGGGGCCTGACGGTATTCACCCACGAGTACTTAAAGAGCTAAGTGGGGAAATAAGTTGTTTCAGGTGTTGTACCGGATGATTGGAGGAAGGCAGATTTGTTCCTTGTGGGGATATTTATGGGATAATAATAGTAAACAGTTGAGAATTGCCCACTAATTCAATTCTCAGATCCCAAAGAACATTTATCGTAAGTGAGAAGTATTTCATATAAATAATATTCACAATTTTTGTTATAAAAATAGATTTATTTATAATAACAAATTAATTAATAATAATATGTAACATGCGTGACAATAATCAATGAATATCCAGTATAAAATGGTATGCAATACAAAGGAATGGCTATACACATTTCAATGGCTAAATAGCATTTCCTGTCAAGTCTTCTGATTTATGAGGTATCTTTAACACAGACTGAAAGTGAAACTTTTCACAGCGTAGGGCCATAAAACCCTGGCTAACAGTTAGAATAACCCTTTCAATGCTGGCTAGATCTCCTAGGTAATTAAGATCTATTCTTATGTAATTTTAAATAAAATAACATTTAAACCAGTTCATTAGTCATTTCCTGGAACCATCCAATAAGAGAATCTACCATATTATATAAGCAGATTTTAATTTGTCTAAAAGATATCTTATCTTAATTTAGAGCAAATCAATACACCTGGATAAAAACAGCGGTATGCTAACACGTGATACTATCACATCAATATATAATTATTCTTAATTCCACCTGCAGAATGGAATGTTTATAACTATATATTCTTTAGTTAACTAAGATTTCTTAATATGGAAATCTGACCGTGCTTTATCCAGTCATATATAATGCTATTAATACATTTTAATTAATTAATTTAATTTAATTAAATGAAACCAGTATAATTACCAGTTGAGTAGATATTTCATCCGATTGGTAGATAGTCTCAGGAACCTATTTGGATGTCTGTCTGCATTGAGTTATGGTGAAAGGTGGTGTTGGTTAGAAAGTCAGTGAAATTCTAAGTGTTAGAGTTTTCAGAGTAGAGTGTTAGTCTCAGATGTTGTGAGTTGGAGTCCCCAAACTTCCAATTCCTCTCTCCTCTTTTTCCTTCTCCTTTGCATCCTCAATCTTCCCTTTGTCTTAACTTTTAAAGGGCCAGACTCTCTGTACGTCATCAGTTGATAACCCAATAGAAGCACTAGAGGTGTGGTTATCTTCCAGATCGCAATTTAGTTATTTGGTCTATAGAGGGCAGTCTTGTCCCACTAAACATACCTATCCAGGAAAGAGTTAACTTTTCCTGGTGGCTATTTTGACGTCATTTTGGCCTATCTAGATAGTGGCCATAACTTACGTATCCTTTACAGATCAAAGGGTTTCTTTAAGTTTTGTCCAGACTATGTGTCTGCAAATCTGAGTTTTGACCCATAACTTACAACGGGACCTTATAGATATAGACAGTTAAATTTTTTTAATTAATCTTCTCTGTCACAATTGTCTGGGTTTAGAATTGATTATATTCTTCTTATCACTTGTATATACTATGCATTCCTTTAGCTCTGGAAAATGGTTAGTTTTACAGATAGAAATCTTGTGTCTTTTTGTTAACTTGAAAATAACAAAATGGAGTCTGGTCTGTTCAAAGTGACTCAGAATATACACTTTTAATTTCTATCATAGCACAAGATGTCTGCCAATATAAATACCCTGACATCCTGTATTTAAAAAGGGTTCAAAATCCTTACCTGGAAATTATAGACCTGTGAGCTTTACTTCTGTAACTGGGAAAATATTTGAAGGGTTATTAAGGGATAATATTCAGGAATTCATTGGGAAGAACTTTGTTATTAGCAATAATCAGCATGGTTTTATGAAACATAGGTAATGTCAAACTAACCTAATTGCATTCTACGAAGAAGTAAGTAGAAGTATAGATCAGGGTGTTGCAGTGGATGTGATCTACTTGGATTTTGCCAAGGCATTTGATACGGTTCCTCACTATAGGTTAGTCTTCAAACTTAAAGAAATTGGTCTAGATGAATATTCTTGTTCTTGGGTAGGACATTGGCTTAAGGATAGAGTACAACGAGTTGTCATTAACGGTAA